TGTAAAAAGACTATGTTTTGCAGACCCTGACAACCTCTCCAGCTATCTCATTGCTTATATTGTTGTGTGCTAATAGGAATGAGGGGATCTGCAGATATTTCATAACTGGAAGTGGTCAGGGCATTTAGATGGTTTGGATTCTTCTGTGCAATCATCTCAAGCATGTCTGGAAAAAAGAGAAAGAAGTATTCAGTTCAGTGTTTGCCTGGAACTAAACAACAAACAAGCTAAAAACTCTTTTCAAGTGTTCATACCTAAATTAAGCCCTGCTGCTCCCAAGAACAGGCGTGTATAAAAGAGATAGGGATTGTGTATTGTATGTGCGTGTGTGTGTGTGTGTGTGTGTGTGTGTGTGTGTGTGTGTGTGTAGCTTTTTATTAAATGTATACAACTCTCAGCAATAAGATGACTCTGGACAATTGTATAGCCCTTTACATATGTCTGAAGATCAGTTCCCAGCAGTTCTTACTATTGTTCAGACCTAGCGAGGATTGCTGGGAACAATTATATTGGCAACATCTGGAAGAATGTTGATTGCCTCCTGTTGTTTCAAACCTCTGGAACGCTCTGAAGTGTTAGGCTTTGTTGCCATCATGTGGCCATAACTTGATATAAACTATTGTAGCTCTTTGTGTTGCAATTCCTAAGGCCTACATAGTTTTCCAGATCTGATTGGGACAGATCTTTTTTTCCCTTCCTTCAACTGATTTCTTCACACGTGTTTTTGTCAAGATCTCCAGAATGAAAAAATAACATGTGGCTGGGGAAGTGGATAGTAGCAAGTTCTTGGGGGCAAGTCACTCAAAGTAAGAAGGCAGCTCCTTCCATCCGGCTGGGGGCCCGGATAAGGGGCATGCATAAGTGCACCATTGTGCCTCCCGTCCCTGTCCTGTTGTCGTACCTATTTTCTGTATTCTTACTCATGTTTATACATATATCTATTAGCTTGTAAGCGATTGACAAATCAAATAAATAAATAAAATAAAATAAATAGGAAATAAGAGCTAGGCTGAGTCTCGGACGGTTTATGATGCCCCTTATTAAAGCCTAGGACCAGCTGAGAGCAGTGAGGGGAGCAACTCCGCCTGCTCCCATTCTTGGCCCGGGGCACACAGAACCCAGTCTCCTGAGGGAGCCAGTGGGAAAGCTAGTCTTCTGAGAGAGCCAATGAAGGGCCCTCTTTGAGAGGGAAGCAGGGCCAATTTTTTTTTTGCACACTTACCCCCAACTCTTCAGGTTAGAAAATATCATCTCACGGGGGTGGGGGGGGGGACACACAAAAAAACCACACATACCCCAGCATTTTAAGACATGGGAACCTGCACTCTGTTTGGAGATAGCAGGAAGACGCAGTTGTTCATTGTTGGCAATTTTGCAGGACTTGGCCTCTGTTGCCCTGAAGGGGAACTACAGGCTTGAGAGAAGATAACACCCCCCCATCTCCCATTAAAATGCAAGTGAACTTCATTATTAATTGCACCCAGTAATCGTTTTAGCTTTGCTTTAATGCCTATCCTAGGGGGGGGGGGGCAATTGGAGACAAGGCTTTCCTGTCCCCAGCCTTTCAGGAGGTGGCCATCGCCTGTTGTGTTCTGCCTGGCTCTGCTCTGCACCCAGTTTTGTCCCAGTTCTGGTTTGGCTGTGGTGGGGGACCCCACAATGAAGTGGATGTGGCCAGGCTGCCATGTTTAATCGTCCTAGGCCATTCCTTGGCAAGCTTCCTGTGTTGAAAATCCTTGGAAAGTGACCTAAACCTAAATTCTAAAACTTAGGATGCAAACAGTATTTTTCTCACTATCGTGATCTTCTGAAAAAAATGTGATATTCAATTTAGCCTTGATAAAGGTACAGCACATCAAATTGGAAGGCTTATTTATATCTAATTAATTAATAAGAAAAAGGTATTATTCAGTCCCTGACAGAAACCAAAAGGTCATCGCCATTTATTGCATATTTCCCGAAGCAACTGATTACCAGCCTCTAACATGGCAAGCAACTGAATCTTAAATAAAATAGATAAATGGTTTAGTGAACAGGAAGTAGTCAAAGTAAATGGCATTGCATATAGAAAAGGGGTGGGGCTCTGATCATAGTCACAACTGCCACCTTGACTCCCCTTTCCCTCTACAGACATCCCTAAACCTGTGGGGTCTTTTTGCTATGTCTTAGCAGACATAATAATTTGGCAAGGCAGACTTTTGGTGAAGTAAAGTCACTCAATGTACCTCAGATTCATGATTCATGAGGCCTGCCTTATGGATCAGCCAGCCTCCCCAAGACATGGTTGAAGACCTTACTGAACTTTAGAAATCGATGAAATCTTGGCTTTTCCCCAGGCACTGGAGTACAGGTTTTGATAGAACTGGCATAGGGTGATTAGTGGATGGATGTGGATTTTATTTGAGTCTCCAAATTTTTTTTTGTTTTTGTTGTACAGTATTGTGCTTTTATTTTGTTCGCCACCCAAAGTATCTTCTGATAGATGGGTGACCACACAAATTTGTTTCATAAATAAATCCTGTCTCTTTTTATATTTTAATAGTTTTGTTACAATAACTCTCTTAACCATCTTTTCTTTAGAGTTAGGCAAGAGGAATCTTACTACACTCGTTAGTACATGCTCCCAGAGAATGTATCCTATTGATCCACCATTGTTCTCCTTGCCATCGAGCCCCACGCTAAACTTAATGTCATCCCAAACACTCAACTGGACAGATATTGAATCTGTCTTTCCAGGTTAATCGAGATAAATAGGGGGGAAATTGCTATATTCCACTCTCTATTGGGATTTAGACTTACTGGAAGAGAAACAAAGGCTGATAAATATGATTAGCATTGTACCACTGTTTTCATTGTGACAGTATTTTGCAGAAACAATTGCTTATATATCAATACTAACTTTCCTGTCCTGGTGGATACATCAATGGTCTTTGTATCATTTTATCTGGGGATGCAGATAGAATCTTGGACAAATGAGACAGACCTTATGTGTGCTTGACCCAATGATTCAATGTAGAGAAAAGTAAAGTCCTAACTTAGGCAAGAAAAACCAAAAGTACACATATAGACTGGGTGAAACCAGGCTCAATAACAATAACTGTGAGAGGGATCTTGGAGTGTTAGTGGACAACCAGCTAAATATGAGCCAATAGTGTGCAGCAGCAGCCAAAAAAGCTAATGCAAAAGTTAAGTTGCATTAACGGAGGGATAAATCAATATCAAGTGAGATACTAATACCACTTTATAAATCCTTAGTAAGACCACACTTAGAGTACTGCATCCAGTTTGGGTCACCACACTATAAAAAAGATGTTGAGACTTTAGAAAAAGTACAGAGAAGAGCAACCAGGATGATTAGGGGATTGAAGACTAAAACATATGAAGAATGGTTACAGGAACTGGGCATGGCTAGTCTAGTGAAGAGAAAGACCAGGGGAGACATAATAGCCGTCTTCCAATATTTGAGGGGCTGCCACAGAGAGGAGGGGGTCAAGCTATTTTCTAAAGCACCCAAAGGCCAGACAAGGAATAATGGATGGAAACTTAACTTAGAAATAAGGAGAAACTTTCTGACAGTGAGAACAATCAACCAATGGAACAGCTTGCTCTTGGAAGTTGTGGGAGTGCCATCACTTGAAACTTTCAAGAAGAGATTGGACTGCCATTTGTCAGAAATGGCGTAGGGTCTCCAGCTTGGGCAGGGGTTGGACTAGATGACCTACAAGGTCCAACTCTGACCTACAAGCCCTTCCAACTCTGACTATCTGTTATTTTACCCTTATTTTTTTGAAGGGCTGAGCAGCCACTTAATGTCTAAAGGGGGTGAATGTTTCTTGAGGCCAAAGTCTGAATCTCTTATGCAGTATGAGAAAGCGGTGAGAATTTGCTTAAAGAAACTTTAATTTTGGGATGCTTTCCAGCTGGTCACCCATCCCATTCCTCAATAAGATTCTGGAAAATGTGGCAACATCTCAGTTCCAGATTATCCAATTTTCCTAGGATTGGCTTTAAATCAATGCTGTCTAAAATTTCAGAAGTCTATGTCAGCAAGGCTGCTGAATTTGACCTCACAATATTAGATTTTGTGAAAGGAGTAATTATATCAGTTTGCAAATGTTCAACTCTCGTTGGACTTCAACGTTGTTATAAATAATAGCTTACTTTGAAAAGGTTCTAGGAGTAAACAGGATTTAGGAAGTATACCCAAGATCACAGTGGTAGGAACTCCATGCATTTTTATTGTCACCCTTAAAAAATACATTAACAGATACTAGAGGATATGACTTTTTAAAATCTGCATCCTATTAATTAGGCAGTAGGGAAAGGCCTTCTATGCTGTGGAGGAAGGGTCTATCTTTGAAAGATATTTATATTGGGGCAGGTGCCTATTGCTGCCAAGGTGTGTTCTGTCCCTAGTCAAAATGTTGCATTACCTGCCTGTCCTGAGAAAGGCCTTTATCTTCCATAGCAACCACATGCATTATGTTTAAAATGTGCAGTTGAAAGAAGAAACACATTTATTACCATATTTAATTCAGTTCTCAAAAAAAAAAAAACCCCACAACCAACCCATCCATATTATTTGAGCAACACATTAAAAAGGCAAATTGAGGTGCTAGGGATTATGAGGATAAAATATGAATATTAAATAGAGGATATCCAAATATGACAATGTTAAGTGGTCAAATCGCAGTTTAAATTGCTACTTTTTATCGTCTTCCTGTTCCTAGTACCCTTCAGATTTAATGACATACAACTTTTATAATGGAAAGGAATTATACTCATTACAAAATACCAGATTAGAGGGTCATAATACCATGATCAGCACTTTAGATTCTACCACCACTTCTAAAATAATAGCCATCCATCACCATTTTGCCTTTAATGAGCTTTTCCTCTATAAGTGCAATAGTTTATGATTCGTTTGCATAATTTGGAATCTGAGGGAAAAGCGAAATTTGCAACACACAACAAGCCATCAGAATATTCCAGACCACAGATTGAAGGACAAAATTGTATCATTTATTACCATTTACAAACTGCTTTATTGATACAAATGTTTTAACCAATAACAATATATGAATATCAGAATATATTACAGCACATTAAAACATCATATACGTTTGCAAACATACATAGCAATTTGGTTTGTACCATATTAAAAAAAATACAAAAAAGAGGAAGTAGTGAAGGGGAAGAAAACATTAGGCATCTTAATTGCCTTGGTCAGTTTATTCAGTATATACAAAGACAGAAAAACTTTCCCAATGTCCAAGTCCAGCAACTTTTTAACATGCCCTAATGCCCTGGAAGTACCAAATTCACTCTCAGCCAATAGGATAAGAAGAAAGGATCACTAGAATAAGCAAAATGTTGGCTGGGGACCATATAATCCAATACACTGGGTTCAGGAAAACGGCTGTAGACCGCTTCTGAGTCTTCAGTACCTTGATTTGACAAAACATTAACGAATATATAGGACAGCAACTGGAAGCCCCAGGACTAAATGCAGCCCAATGAGAGACAGTGCCTTTTCCAGTTTACCAACTCAGCGGCAAGAGATGCAAAACAATTTGCCAGAAAGTTATGCTAGGGTAACAAAAGGTGGTTCTTCTAAAAATATTTTAAAAAGGACTGGACCGGACTGGTGAACAGAATCATTTTAGAATCATCCTGCTCGGAAACCATTTCCCTAAATATCACATGGGACTTGCCACTTCCACAGTAACAGATTATGCCTGGCATTGTTATCATGTTTCCTCTGCATACATTTACACTTGACATTATGGCACTAACACAAATGATGCTGAAAGCACAAAACTTTGACTCCCCTCTTCTTTACACATTAAATTTTAAAAAGTCAAGAAAATTAATTCAAGGATAGCTACTGCTCAGCATTACTTGGAAGACAGAATAAGCAACAAGGAGACAATTAAGAGGAGGTATGGAAAGAATCAGCTTGACCGCAAAGCAGCCATATAGTCTTGCCTCTGGAAGGGTCTGGTGGAAAAGAGAGAATTTGGGGGGTTCTTCTTAGGGCAGAGAGTCTTTCTTCTCATTCTGTGAGCAACCATAAAGAAACAGCCGAAAGGGAAAGAATACACTATACTTCAAACATCATGTTGTGCAAGATCCACCAGTTCTCTTAAAATAGTAGCTGGAGAGTAGGAGCAGGTTTAAAACTGCTTTTCTTGTGCTGGCAGTTGATCTGGCTCACAAGTATAGGTTAGAAAAGGAAAGGCCTGAAAGGAACCCTCCACAGGCTATCAACACACCTTTTCTTTTCCGACCCATTCCATCTTTTTGCCCCCATGGCAAGCTGCTTTCTAACACTCCTGGTACAACTGACTTATCCATGCAAATTTATTTCCAAACATGGATTGCACTTGTGCGAATAGCTGCTTTTCAGAGAAACAACTACAGGAAAAACAAACAAAATCCCTGGGATTTAACTTTCAAAAATACAAAATGTGCTTGTGTTTAGTTAGCCCTTCCTACTGGGAAGAGAAGGGAAAAGATGGGAAGAGGGAGAAGAGGAGTAATTATAGGTACCATGTTTTTCTCTAAAGGAAAAGATTGAAAGTGGCGGAAGAAACCTCTTCCCTTTGGAAGCTGTGCATTTCTATCTGCTGTCTTAAAGCACAAATTAGCAAAAGCAAAGATTCCACCCACACATCCCCATCAATTTAAACCACAAATCTCTTTTCACTACCTTAGCATATTAGTAAAATTTGTTTTGGAAAGGCACTGTATTTATTTTTCCAACCCAAATTTACAAGATTAAACAAACATTTTAAAAAAATGCAGAATGGATTTCTATAAAGACTAAAAAATAGTTCTCATTCCAAGAACCTGGAATAAAATAATTCTGGCATTCCCCAAACACATCTGCTTGTTAAATCAATGATTATAACACTGTGACTACCAAGTGGATTAGAGCAGGGGAACGGGGTGTGTTATACATTTCTGGATTGCCCAAAGGTGGAAAAGTAGGAAAGCTGGAAATGCAAAGATTGCAGAACTCCAATTCCTAGGGAAAGCAGGAGGGGAGGAGTTATACCAAGCAGAGTGCATGACTGATGAGAAAACATGCACGGTCAGGGGCCCTCTTCAAGCCAGGAAGAGAATGCACCACTATACTCAGCGTTTTAGGTAGCTACTAATAAAAATGATCGCTGCTTCCACCACCATCAATAATACAGGTAGTCCTCAACTTACAACAGTTTATTCAGCGACTGTTCAAAGTTACAAGACTGAAAAAAGTGATTTATTACCATTTTTCACACCGATGACCATTGACGCATCATATGATCAAAATTCAGACGCTTGGCAACTGGTTCATATTTATGATGGCTGCGGTGCAACCAGGCTCATGGGATCCTCTTTTGCGACTTTGTGACAAGCAAAGTCAGTGGGGAAGCCAGATTTACTTAGAAATCATATTACTAACTTCACAACTGAAGTGATTCGTTTAACAACTGTGGCAAGAAACATAAAATGGGGCAAAACTCACAGTCTTGCTTAGCAACAGAAATTTTGGGCTCAACTGTGGTCGTAGGTTGGGGACTACATTATTGTGGAGAAGAGGAAATCCCATGAATTAATTATTTTAGGCAGTCAAAGGTCCACAGAATTTGAGAAATATCTATACTATACTATAAACTGAATGCTGAGAATTGCAGCAGGAATTTCATGAATTCAAATTGTGGAAATTAATATGGTAGTTCTACTACACTACAAATTTATACCACTATCAAGTATCATAACTCTAAAAGCAAGAATTATCAAGATTATAAAACTACTTTTCTAATAAAGGCCGAAGAGTTGTATGGATGAATCATTTGCCTATTACATTAGTCAGCCAAATCTGCTTAGGAAAGTCACATGGAAGTAATCAATTTTCTGAATGGTCCCTAGCCCATTTCTAGCCAGGTCCTCAGAACCAATGTCTGCAAACAGCCAAGAGATCTCTGATAAAGAACTGCTAGTGTGCAAACTGTCCCCAAAACGTTCGGTAGGGAAATGTAAGACTGAAAAGATTTAAAACCAGAGCAAAGATGTACTCTGAAAACAGTGACATCATGACACGTGTAAGAAAGGGCATATAAATAAAAGGTGAAGCTTCAAGACATATTATTCCAGCAACTAAGTGCTTAGCCAAGGCCACCATATTGTGATTAATGATGTAAACTGCTCCACACGAAGGGCTAGTGATGTTATGCCAGTCGAAGGCACTGTATCCCTTCAGCTTTCAACTGCAATTCTGCATTTTCTGAACAGAAAAACAAGTGGAACATTAGAATTAATTAATTCCTAGACCAAGGCCTTTCCAGACATTGATAGGATCCCCTCTTGTAACTTATGTCTTCCAGCATCCTCCTCCATAGCTGTGGAGATGAAAAACCTACCCTCAATATTGTTGTTTTAATATAGGATCGATTGATGATTACAGAAGATGTGGTCTTAAACCATTAATGGGGAACCTGATGCCACCTGCCACTTTAAAATCTATTTCTAGGCTCCCATTTAAGAAAAGAGCAAGTAATTATTATCATTAATGGGAACTAGAGCAGTTCTCATCCTCATCTTCATCTGCAATCCAACCACTAAGCACTGATCTTATGAGCTTCTGCTTTTTGCCTTCACTCCTTTCCCTCTGCTTTTGCCGTTAAACCCTTTTTTCCCCCAGGCCATGTTATTGTTCTGGATACAGTGCATATCTACAATGTCTAGCGCAACATCGCAAAGAATTAGCACACTGTTGCCCCTTTCCAAGCACAAAAATGTCTATTACTACCTTCTGTTTAACGGTAGCTTGGTTTGACAAGTTGGAACTAAGATCCTTAAAAGAGGGATAAAAATATAGGACTAAAAACTACATGATTGGAATGGAGATGCATAAAATGGACTGGGCGTGGGCGGGGAAAGGAAATAATCGGTGTCCTGGCTCCTTTTGACAACCATCTGACCAAAGGAGCCAGGAAAGCCATATGTGCTTCTACAAGAGCCTGGTGGATTTGGGACTGTGCGTTTTCTCTCTCCAAGGCTGTGCATCAAATCTCACTACAAATCAAGGACATAAATAATTATAATAAAAGAAATAATCATCATCCAGAAAGGGCTGCAGTTTTTATACAAATGCCACCATGCAGTTACAAGACCACAATTTTGATTTGAAAAATTAAAAAAGCGTTTGGATTTTTTTTTCTTACTTTTTGGATTTTTCTTAAATTAAATCAGATCAGTTGATAGAAAATAAGTATGCATAATTTCCCCACTCCATCCACCACAGTCCTTATCTATACATAATATATATAAAACTCAGGACCCAATAAAAATGATACTCCTTTTAAGTCAAGGCTGACATGACTGGACTACCATTGACCATTGTTTTGCGCCCCCTACTGGCCAAAGGCTGCACCGGGTGGCAGTTCGAGGTGCCATTTAGCATGGCACCAGATGTAGGGTGGGTTGGAATGCTTACAGTGGTGATATTGGAGCTTGGGGAGCCATGGGAAGGTGTGACAGGACTTGGCAATGAGGAGGAAGTGGTAGCTGGCAAGGTGGCTGGACTATGAGCTTTGTCACTGACAGATTCACACTCTGAAGCCCCACTGGTGTTGGTACACTCTGAGTTGGGAGGCTGAGAAGACAGTTTTAACCTCTTGCAGGCTGGTTGAACACGATATTTCAGTGGGAGAGGACCATTCTATTGAAGGAAAGAAACAGGATATATTAGCAACTTGCAACTTGCTGTTTCTCCAAAAGAAAAAAAAATGGCAAAGAAGCACAGTAAAACATCAGACATAATTTTAACATCATAAAACAAAAAAGGCATAAAACTGCAGCTGTACAACAGTTAAAACATTTGTCAGTATATTTTAATATTGACCTAGTAGTATGGTCCTCAGGCAGTTATTATAACAGTGTAAATAACCATGTACCATCTTATTAAATATGATCTTGCTACTGGTCCATTCACAGAGACGCCCTATTCCAAATTCCACCTCATGGAAGATAAGAAATCCAGAAGCCAAGCTTTCCCAATAGAGGTAGACCTTGACTTGCAACTATTCATTTAGCAACTATTCAAAATTATAATGGTCCAAACCAGTCCTTGCACTTACAACATTGAAACATCCCTATGGTCAAAGGATTAGAATTTAGGCATTTAGCAACTGGCATGTATTTACAAAGGTTGCAGCATTCTGGACTCATGTGATTGCTATGTGTGGCCTTTCCAGCCAGCTTCTGATGAAGCAAGTCAGTGGGGATGCTGGATTCATTTAATAATCACATAATTCACTTAACAACTGCAATGCTTTGCTACATTCATGGTGAAAAGGTCATAAAATCGTATACGACAACTGCCTTGATTAACAACAAAAAATTCTGGTCCTAACTGTGATCTTAAGCTGAAGGCTATCTTTACTGGGTCTTCATGCAATGCACTATTTGCAAAGATACATCTGGACATTTTGCTGACTTTTAAAAACACTGAAAACACTTTTGTGTCAAGCAGGCCTTTGGCCTTTAGGAAGGATTGTGAGTGAACAACTATTTTTAATAAAACATCATGATTTTATACAGTGCTTATCGCATCTACTGGATTGGGACAGTATATAAATATTGGTTGATCGGTTGATTAGCTGGCTGACAGTCAGATGGATGTCATAAGCTTTTGTTTAAAACCAGGAATTTTGAGAACTGGCTGTAGAGTCCCATAATCACCACCACCACCATTAAGAAGACACATCTCCAATGAGATTATTTATCCAGTTTGGTCCAGTTCATGCACCAGGTTTTAATTTTTTTCTGTTTACCAAGGTGAGGAATACTAAGCTATTTGGTACATTTCATTCCTCACAAGCTGACTCTCCACAAACGATAGGATGCTTTTGCAAATCAGTGGGCAGCATACTTTATAGGTCAAAAAGGCAGCAGCATAGCTTCACAGAAAGATGCCTGACGATGCCATGGTTCAGACTAAATATGTGGCATTTGCCCTCCATTCCCCCCAAAACCAAGCAACAAAGAAGTCACTAGAGTGAGAATTTATCTCTTGAAACTATGGGTCCCACAGTCCCACCTCCTATTGCATAGTTTACTTTACCTCTTACCTGCTCAGAAACCAAGTTATGGCCTAATTTGATTGATGCTATGTATCTACTCAGAACCACCACATACTAAGCCAAACTTGTGATCATACAAAAGCTTTCTCCAACTAAACCTAGAATATGTTTTGGAAGTATTAAATGCTCTTTTTACATAAATAATTTTTTTTTAAATAGCCAACAATTAATGTCTGTAGAGATTCAGTCATCCAGGTCATAGATGTCTCAAAGGTGTTCCACCCCACCACCCCACCCCAAAAAAGGCAACTGGAGTGCTTTTTCCTTGAGGAAGAAGGAAAAAAATATTTTGCTTTTCATCCAAGAAGCTTCACAAACTGATGAAGCTTCTTGGGTGAGAAGCTAAACGTCATATTCTTCTTTCTCAAGGAAAAAACAGTTTTTAAAAAGAAGCATCTTTGAGTTATATGTCAACTTACATGTTTTTTAGTTGAAAAGAAACAGTTTGATATTGTATTAAGGTGCTAGGCTAGAAACTGGGACACTGTGAGTTCCAGTCCTGCCTTAGATATAAAGCCATCTGGGTGGCTTTGACCCACTCTTTCACCCCTAGGAAGGAGGCAATGCAACCACTTCCAAAATCTTTCCCAAAAAACTGCAAGGATTAGTCCAGGCAGTCATCAAGAATCCAGATTGACTTAAAGGCACAAACAAAACAAAACAAAATAAAAAAACAAAAGTAAAATTAGTTGAATCTTAATTATTTCCTTTCCCATTTCGGAATTTGTCTTTGAATGGAGAAGAAAATGCAGTTTATATCTGGTATGTATTTAAAAAGCTTCTTGAACCTGGCATCCATCAGACCTTTAATTCACGGAATTTGAATTTTCATTCCAAATAAGGCTAACATTTCAGAGTTGTTGGATTTTTTTGGTATAATTTATATAAAAATAAATAAATTTCCCACCCCTTATTTTTCTCTTCTGAGAAAAGATAAGCCAAACACATGGATTGGCTTTGTTTTATTAAAAAAAAAACCCAGTAGATTATGTTCTTCATGGACAAGTATCACACTAAAACAATTTAGTGAAATATGATTGTATCTTACTATAATTGTAACAGAATCCTTAACAGACCCTGTGGACAAAGAGGATACAGTAAGTCTGTTACTGAAAAGATCCCTCAGTCCAGAGGAAGGGCAAAGTGTGCAAAAGAAATGTGAAGCGAGTAACTCCTTGGGTGTAAGCTGATATGGAGAATTATTTTGGTAGGCTTCCGAAATTCTGTTATATTACCTTACTGTAATAAAAATCATTCAAGAAATTCAAGTGGTTCTTGTTTCTTGAGTTTGCCAACTTTAAAAGGCTGGACAATAGTCTATTTTATTGCAAAATCTTATGGAGTAGTTCAAAATTTTGTTAACCTTATGATAGATTATGTGTAAGCAAGGTAACTAAAATTATAGGTACAATGGGGAAATGGGGTTACCAATTTTCAAGAGGTTGACTAAGCTGTTATTTATCTTTCCCTTTTCTCCATTAATGAACATGTTTTAATACAGTCCCAGATGTTTGTTTTAAATTCTAAGGCTTTTAATTCTCATGTTGAAAGTTTGAAATTTAAAAATCTTCCAAATTTTCTCATTAGTGTGATAATTAAATCTCATTAAGATGATGCAAGTTAATTTTTTCAAGTAGAGGATTTTTTTTCTTACTAACCCTTCGCCAAGGATAGATATAAGTTATGTCCATGAGAGTGTAATATTCTTTTAGAGGTTCATCTTCATAGAGAACTTCCACCTAATAAACAAAGTTTAAGACATGCAGAATTATATGACACAGGCATAAATTTAAATATTTGCCACAGATTTCAGTAATCTGAATACCTCTTTTCGGTGGTAAATTTATTTAAATTTACAACTACACAATAGAAGCAAAAAGAGAGAATTAAAAAAATAAAGGGTGCAGAAAAGAAAACAATAGAAAGAAAAATAAAAAAGGACAAAGTAAGAATATAGAAAAAGAAAAGAAATATATATTTCCCACCTTCTTCACGAGTATAAACAATTTTAATAACTTACCATCTTTTCTTAAAATACAACAAATGATTCCTTCTTCCCATATCCCATCTCTTATCTATAAATAAAACCTCATTATTTCGACTCTAATGTCAGCAAAAGTCCATTAAGTGTTAGTAGGAATAACATCTATTTTAACCTTGATAAAATAAACTAGCTTTATATCCCTTCCTTCTCCTATGTTCCAAGACATCTAAAAATCTCAGTCTTTAGTCCCTTTAATTATCCTAGAAATTGATTTATTTTCATTTTGTCCTGTCTTACAAAATTTTTCAAAGTTTTAACAAGCTTCCTTGATAAATCCAGTGTAGGAAAATTATCCAGGTCACCCGCTTGTGTTATATAGTGGAATTTGTAGCTGAAGTGAGGGGAGGAGTGAAAAGACTGGCTAGTCTTGAACTGTTGATGGATGGGAAGCAGATCTTTCCCAAACCTTGTACTGCTTATCTAGCAATTTCCATAGTGAGTGCATTATTCTAGCTAGATTCCTGTCAATAGAAAAATAGCAATAAATGTATCATTTTGATCCATTCATTGTGTTTTCCTGCTTCCTTGCATCTGTCAGGGTGCTATTTCTTTGATATATTTCTTTTAATTATTAAGACATCTGCTGATTTCTGTTGTATGTCCAATGCACTACCTTTTTCTATGTCAGTCATATTTGTTTTGAAATCCACTTGCATGTCACTTTCAATATTGTAATGTAAAACTTGTTCCTCTTTCATAACAACTTTTAAATACAGTCCAAATGTAAAGCCACTCAGTAAATCAATTTCTAGATTCATTGTCCAAAAATATCATTCAGAATGTTAAAATATTTTTGCTTAATTCTGAATTAATAAATTGAGTTTGAATGGTGTTCTCCTTTAAAGATCATTTTTAGTTTCTCCTAGTATCCCCTAGCATCCAATTTTTAAAGTTTTATTATGTTTTTTAAGCATTCAAAATAAAAGCTTTTTCCCACATTAATGTCCCACTATAATTAATTCCAAAAACTTATTTCAAATTTAACTGGACACCTAATATGTTTCTAAATTTCTAAAATCAAAATTTTAATCATTCTTTTACTGATTATTACAAAATCCCTCAACTTATATGTAAAACTTCTTTTAATAATGATTGAAAGAAACTCATCTGTTGTTATTAAACATTGTAATGAAAATTTGTAAAGGCAGAAAACCAGTTACCAAACAGTGATTAGAAAAAGATCTATGCAATTTTAAAGACCAAATGTAATTTGACCAAGATGGCTATTCCTTTGTCTCCCACAGCTCTAAAAACACTGTTGTCTGCTGTCTTGAGGTCTCTTCACGAGAAGCAGCTTTGTGGGTGATCTCAACTCTCCTTGGCTAAGAATTAATAAAGAGGCAGGTTACTTGCCAACTCTTCATTCCGCTGCAATTGTCTCCGCTTTTTGGAAAGCTATCTTCAGTCCACCAGTCTTCCCAAGAAGTCCAATCCAGTAACCTGCATTTCTTAATGACTCTCTTTCCCCCTACTCCCTCCCCTCTCCTTGTCAAGCTGTGAAGATAAGGAAATCTGTAAGCCACCGTGTAGTTCTCAGCTTAATTTCATGTGGAGTTATAAAAAAAGAAATGTAGGTTGAGTTTGAGGGAAAAATGCATATACATATCTTGTCTGCACCACAATAATCTAGACAATGGGCTCAGTTCAGAGTGAATGGGAAGTAATAATATTGATCCAATAGGAGAATAAATAAATTCTGGTTGATTCCATGTGCATGGAAATATTTAACCACATTATTTTAATAAATAATCAGGAAAATAATGTTGTATTAAGTTTTTGTTAAATCCTTAAAAAAACAAATTTTATTCTACTTTTTTGAATTTGGGCAAAGGGAGAGATAGAGAATATACAAACTACAAGTCTTGCATCTTGATTTTTGAGCTTAGCCAATTTAATATTTGTAGAAACTAGTAAGAGGAGCTGCTGATTTGTTTTTTTGTTTTCTGTTTTAACCTTTAGCTATGAAGAATTTTAAATATACAAAAGTCCAGCAGCAACCTCAGCCCTTGGACCAAGAAAATGGTGGGTGCTTGCCTGAAACTTACTTTGTATTTGGTGGGAACATCCATCTTGTTCCGGAGGAACTTTGCCAGGTGCATGATAGTCATAGCAGCAGGACATCGGAGGAATCTCATGCTGTTCTTCTACAGAGGAATGTGAGAAAAGCGAAAGATGGTTTTAATTGGAGAGGGCTGGACTGCACAGCAGGAGATTGAAGTTGAAATAGGTATGGAAGTCACTGTATATCTGCTAAAGGATTAGGAAACTAAGGGGTGAAGGTTGGAGGAGGAGTGCAAGAAGTTCTCAGGCAAAAGCCACCAGATGTAATTTGGATGTCTTTGTGGTATACAGCAAAGGGGGAAAAAATGAAGCCTGGGAAGGAGAGAGAGTCTTCAAAGAGGGGAGGGAAAGGGAAAATATAAAGAAACAAAACAGAAAAAAAGGAAATATAGAAATAATATTGGTGGAAAAAAAAGTAGCAGAAACAAAAGCAAACAATGCTGATGTTTGTATGCCTAGGAGTTCACTTAAGCCCAGATTCAGGATTCTTTTTAATAATATGATTTAAGCTTAAGTTTCTTATACATATTAGAGTTTTTTCCACATCTACTCCGTATCCTACAACTTGCTTCCAAATAATAAAATACTAAGGCTACCCAATTTGAGGGTGCAAATTGCCGCTAGATGGTAACAATTATACATAGAAAACTCTAGCTGTTTGCTCCTTTAAAGGTTGTCAAACTTTTTGCAGGTGAGATATGGTCGCCTTTATTAATATTAAAAAAAGAATAGGGTTGCATGAATTCATTGCATGCAATGAAATTAAATGCCATTTTGTATAGCCACTTGAACCTTACATAAAACAATTACTATGGTAAACAAGGATTCCAGCTTAAAGATTTTAGACAAGTCCACCCAATTAAAAATAATTGCTGTCATAACACATAAACAATGAATAGGATTAGATAAAATGTATATATTTCTTGCCTATTCAAATAACATTAGAACATATAGCTGTTTAAATTTAATAAAGAACCCATACCATGATGTACCTCACCTTATCTTTTTCTGTGTTTCCATTTTCAACAGTCCCTCTATTTTCGTCTCTGAAGAATTAAGAAGATAAATGAGTTGGTATACATATTTATGTATACCAATACAGATACAGTGGTTGACTACCTTGATAGTCAATTGCTTTGAGACTCAACACATTTGGTATTCAATATATTTTGATGGAATGTTTGATGGAATATTTTGTGGAATGTTGTCCCTGTACTCATCATTTGTTTAGTATTCAATGCACAAGCTAGAATCTGTCTTGTGATTCATTATATTATTCCTTATGGGAAAAATTTGTTTGGTACTCATAGTTTTCAGTATTCATCGTGCCTCCCAGAATCAATTAGCAATAAGTACCGAGATACCACTGTAGAGATAAAGGGATAACTAAGAAGTTAATTCATTTAGTATGTGAAATATACCCAGGTCACCCAGAATCCAGAAATATGATTATTTCTGCATGCATTTTAGTTATATAAGCTAGAGAGCATACAATTTTTTCTAACTGTATATAAAAAAAACCCTTCCATATAATAAAGTATTAGGCAGAATAAAATAATTATTTGGAGGAACTGGGTTTGCATGTTGCAAAGGGCTGAAAAGTTGATGATGCATTTTTTACTTCCAGAGTGAGGCAATTTTATTAGACCAGTATTAGCTATCAATATTAAAGACTAAACACCTTGATTTGTGTGAGAACACTGTTTGTGATTGTGGCTTATGCAGCAAAATATCTTCCTTTAGTGTTAATGGCATAAGACTTTACAAGAAGCAATCTCAGAAAATAGGGATTTATCCTTAGAAAAAGGAAGCAATGGGATATGCTGTTGATGACTCTACCATTAGTATTGTCTTTTCACCCTAGTTAGTATTTCTGTTGTTCAATAAGAGTAGCCAAATATATATCTGTACAAATCACTGTTTGCCAAATTGTGTCTAAGAGAGAAGCTGTATAACCTCCTATTAAATTAACTTGAAGGGGATATAAATTACCAACTTTCAATACAAACTGATACAAACTGAAGATAGGGAATAAGACATAATAAGAATTAGGAAGAGGCCAAGAACTGTACTGAGAAAGGATATAACCTTCTACATTAATGCTTAAACGTTTGTGAACCCTTTTGAATTTTCAGCATTTCTGCGTAAATATGACTTAAAACATGATCTGTTATTTCATGTCCTAAAATAGATTAAGAGAACCTAATTAAACAAATGAGTCAAAAACCAAAACATTATGTTTGTTCATTTATTCATTAAAGAAAATAATCCAACACTACATATCTATGTATGGTAAAAGTATGTGGATCTCTAGGATTATCAATTCATTTGAAGAGGTTAGTAGAGACAGATGTTTCAGTCAATAAGATGGTAATCAGATGACAGTTTGGAAATCCTGCCTTATTTAAAGAACAGAATTCTAGGGTTTCACTTTCTTTGCAAAAGAGGTATGGCATGGCTTGAACAAAGGATATTTATGAGGAGCTCTGAAAAAGTTGTTTGTGCTCATCAAGCTGAAAAACATTACAACCTATTTCCAAGGAAATAGGAAGATTGTGTACAAATGGAAGTGATTCAATGACATTGTTACCCTCTCTAGGAGTTGCTGTCCAACCAAGATCACATCAAGAGCAAGGTATGTAATGTCTAGAACAGGGGTGTCAAAATTGATTTCATTGAGGGCTGCATCAGAGTTGTGTTTGACTTCAGGGGGCCCAGGTGGGAATGGCAAGGGTGGGCATGGCCAGCTTGATGTCACTCGTCGGGGGCACCTGTGGTGGCCTGAGTGTTCTGCCAGCAAAATCGAGTTCCTGAGCTCCATTTTTGGCTGTGATGTCCTCCTGCAACCCTCTGCCAATGAAAATGGAGCTTAGGAAGGCTGCCAACCGAAGCACTGTGAGCCAGCCCTTCACTGTTTCCAGGGCAGCCCTATGGGCCAGATCTAAGCACCTTGCGAGCTGCATCCAGCCCCTGGGCCTTGAGTTTGACATCCCTGGTCTAGGAGATCCCAAAGAACACCAAGTTAACCTCTAAGGAACCAAAGATCGCTACTGTGTTGATGAGATAAACATCAGGAGAACACTAAACAGTAATGGTGTACATGGCAGAAAGAAGAAATCTACTACTATTCAAAACAAATAGTTGCTCAGCTAGTTTACAAAAGACCACATAGATAAGCCAGAAGACCACTGGAAGACTATTCTGTAGACCAGTAAGTGGGATTCAATTTTTTTTTTACTGCCGGTTCTGTGGGCATGGCTTGGTGGGCATGGCAGGGGAAGGATACCATAAAATCTCCAGTCAGAGGTGGTATTTGCCGGTTCTCTGAACTACTACAAATTTCCACTATCAGTTCTCCAGAACTGGTCAGAACCTGCTGAGTACCACCACTGCTGTGGGCAGTTGAGATCAATACTGAATCTTTTGGATGGAATGATAAACTTTATGTTTGGCAAAAGGCCAAAACTACATTCCAGAAAATGAATCTTATTCCATCTATGAAACATGTAGCAGTGGCATCATGGTTTGGACCTGCTTTGCTCACCCTAACAAGGATGGTTTGCCATCACTGCTGGAACTATGAATTTTTAATTGTACAAGCAAATTCTACTAGAAAACATCAGGGTATCTGTCCATAAGCTCAAAATAAAGTGGATCATGCAGCAAGAAAACAACTCAAAGCACGCAAGCCAAAGAATGGTTAAGGCAGAAGAAAGTTAATGCTTTGGAATAAACAAGTCAAAGTCCTGACCTTAATATTATGCACATGTTGTAAAAGGACCTGAAGTGGGCAGTTCATGTGAAGAAGCCCAGAAATATCCCTCAGCTGCAGCTGTTTTGTAAGAAGGAATGGACTAAAATTCCTCCTATTGATCAGAGCAAGACTGATCAAGAGATATCAGAAATATATAGTTGCCATTATTGCCACCCCCAAGGGAGCATACCAGTTACTTAAAGTAAAGACTCACATAGTTTGCAATGCACAAATATGTACCATTGGATCATTTTCCTCAATAAATAAATGAATTGTAATGTTTTTTCTCATTTGTTTAATTGAGTTATTTTTATTTAGTTTTAGGACTTGTGTGAAAAATAGATCATGTTTAAAATAGATCATATTTATGTAGGAATATTGAAAAATCAAAAGGGTTCATAAACTTTTAAGTATCACTGTATCTGGTAAATATAAATGTAATGATTATAAAGTGATACTTAAGTGATATTTTTTTCTAAATCACTTCCTCACTATTTGCTCATTAGATATCCACATACAAAGGAAAAAAAGGATAAAAACAAATTCAAAAAAATCCTGTTGTAAAACAGAAGTAAAGATTGTTTTAAATAGATTTTTTATTTTTACAAAATAAAAAAGAGCAATAACTTCAATGTCTATGTAAACAGTGTGTTGTTTGGCTACAGTTACCGTAATTTGATAAATAAAGATTTTTAATTGTGGATGATGGATAGTTAGAAAAGCCTCTATATACAGAAGGTACTTAGTTCAGTAACCAAAATCCCCCCCCCCCCCCCCCGCAAAAAATGACGAGCCCCAGGGTGATGATATCAGTCAGCATTGATAATACTGGCTAAACGATCTAATGGTTTGAGGTGGACATGAAAACTTTCTCTGTTGCACAGGAGCAAATCCTCAGCAGTCTGAAGACTTATTGTCCTTTGCTTCAGATCCTGTGTTCTAAAAGGATGTGAGAAGGAAATGAAAACTTGTCCTTGTGTCATATGTTATAGCCTTCAGCCCACTAATCATCTTTGTTTTCTCTGCAGACTTTTCAGAATCTATAACTTTTTTTTATAATACGGTGAGCAAAACTGAATGCAGTATTCCAAGTGTGGTCTGACCAAGGCCTTATAAAAAGGTACTAACACCACATGTCCTTGATTCTATCCCTCTGTTAATGCAGCCTAGGATTGCCTTAGCTTTTTTGGTGGCTGCCACACACTGCTGGCTTATATTTAAGTGACTGTTCACTAGGATTTCAAGATCCCTCTTGCAGTTACTGCTACTGAGCCACGTTTTACTTAATACGTACCTATGCATTTGCTGTTTCTTGCCTAAGTGTAAAATCTTACTTTTTCTCCATTGAATTTCATTTTATTAGTTTCAAGTCTGTCGAGATCCATCTGGATCTTGAGCCTATCTTCTTGTGTACTGTGTCCACAGCTTTTCGCGGGTGCTCCATTTGCCCCTCCCACCTTTAAGAATTATTCAGTTGTAACATTCCTGTTGCTTTGGCACTTTCTTTCTTGTTAAAACTAATTCTTTTCAACAAATGTAAGAATTCAATGTAAAAATTAAATCTTTCCCTTGGGTCTGCTTTTGTTTAGTTCTAAACCTATACATACGTATCACATTCTGAGATGAATACAAAGATGATATACAGATAGTCCTCAACTTATTACCATAATTGACTTCTGAATTTCAGTTGTTAAGCAGGGTGGTCATTAAGTGAGTCATTATGCATCCATTTTGCATGATTTTTTCAACTATTTTTACCATGATTGTTAAGCAAATCACATGGTCATTAAATAAATCACGATTGTTAAGCTAATCTGGCTTCCCTGATTGACTTTGCTTGTCAGAAGCTGGCTGGGAAAATCATAAATCACGATCACACAATCGCAACATGCTTTAACCATTATAAATGTGAACTGTTTGCCAAACTCTGAATTGCAGTCCTGACCACAGGGGTGGCACAACAATCATAACTTTGAGGGCAGGTTGAAAGTCATTTTTTCTGAGCCATCATAGCTTCCAACCATTGTTAAATGAATGATCAGAAATTGAGGACTACTTGTACCAAAACGATGTGGGCAATTAAATGACCCTAAGCCACTTTTCAAGAAACAGAAAATAGATAAAAATATTAAAACTATAATGATGTAATGTCAGAAAAAATGTCAGAAAAATATCATTTCTTTTATATTCCCTAAATGGTTACCTGATTCCTTCATAGAATTCTATGGATAAGCTGACAGTTTCATCATCAGTTAGATTCCCTTTCTCCTGTTCTGAAACTTCACCCCTGTCTTCATTGGATCCATTGGGAACTAAACAAGTAAAGAAAGGGAATGAAAATCACACTTTTTTTAATGCATATTGCTGTTGACATACAACAGAAGACAAATGAAACAGATATCATACCGTCTGCCAGGGGATATGCTGCATAAAAATCACGTCGCCTCTTCATTTCATCTACAAATGAAAGCAAAGGTAATTAATTTAGTGGCATCCTTCTCATTAATTTTGTAAATATATTTATTATTCAGAAACAATTATCAATTATGAATTATAAAAAGGAACGGCAACCTGGTTTGCATTATCCAAAGATTCTTTTCAAAATTCTTTTATCCCACTTAATAATTATGTACTATTATTTATCAGCTCCACATTAAAAATCAGGCAAAATCAAAATAAAGATTGCTGCATTGTGCTATGTGAGCTAGGAAACTCTGTCCCAAATTCTATTAAATTCTCATCAATCACATATGCATACCTTTGAAGAGTCCTGGCACCAGCTTATATACTATATCCTGTAGAGTTTTATCTGATCTGAAATAAGATAAGCAGGCTGTCAACAAAAAAATTAACTGGAAGTAAATAGAAATATAAAACTATAATAAGCGAATATCTCTAGCTCAGGTATAGGATGATGGTGAAGGTTTGTTTTCTGAGCTTGTGGATTGGTTTCCAAAAGTTTCATTACCAGGTAACATCTAGGTAACATCTAGTAACATCTGGGGTGTCATAAATGACAACCAGAATCTTCCAACCCCTAAGAATAGCAATAAACCCACAGCCACACTCCATAGGAACTATCCAGAACCAACAAAAAAAAAATACAGAGGGATGAAAGAAACAATGTAACTACAAAATCAGCGGTATCCCTTGCAACCTATATGGGGACAAACAATGTCAATTAAAAACCAGCATCTACAAACACCAACTGGCAGTCAAACACCACAATCCCAAATCCTTAATCTCTACCCTCACTGACACCAAACTGCACTAGCTTGATTGGAACAACACAAAAATCATCAGCCATGCTACCATCTACCCCGGTCATGAGTTCATCAAAGCCTGGCACTCTACAAGCAATTCCATCAAGACACACATTGACTTACAACCAGCCTATGAACCCTTCAAAATCCAAATCAACTGTACAGCCAACCAGAGATAGCACTGACCCTCAACCAACCCATGCAACCCCTACCAGCAGCAGTTCACCTCCCAATGACACTAGCCTAATGTAGCCTCCTTATCACAAAACCTGTCACAAGACTCACTGATTCACATCTGACTCATCACAAGACCCTCATGACACACCACACCTGAAGTCCTTATAAATAGAAGTACACTGATATTCCCTGGACTCTGCTGATGATGTTACCAGGCTGGTAATGAAACATTTGGAAACCAACTTACAAATTGGAGAATGAACCTTCACTCTCATATAAAACTAAATTCCTCCAAAAGGAAAAAGAACCTGTTTTATTGTTGTACAAATAGAAAAATGCATTTTTGTCCCTTGTGAGTAACACTCCATTTAAATGTAGAAAGCAAGCTTGCATTCGCCCTGTACTGTCCCTCCTCAATTAGGCCATACCATTTTAAGAAACTAAGAGAAAAATCCTCAGACAAAACTATCTTATGCAAGGCTACATGGCTTAACGTTCTAACACTTTAAATCTCCGTTTAAAAATGCACTTTATTTCTTTAAAAAGATTTGGATTTGTGGGATCATCTAGATTTCTAATGATCAGAAGCAGTGCTAAGGTACAAACTCATAGATCTCTGCAGTAACGTACAAGATTCCCTTCCCAATCACTTGCCTATTTGTAAAACTCATTTATTTGCTGCCCTTCTCAAGGTGACTCCTGTAATTATATAGCACGTTATAGCAAAAGCACTTAGACTTATATACCACCCCATAATTCTTTACAACACACTCTGGTTTGTTTATAATGTCAGCATATTGCCCCTAACAATTTGGGTCCTCATTTTACTGACCTTGAAAGAATGGTAGAGTTAGCCTGCAATGCTGCATACTGACCACTGCGCTACCGGGACATGTTTTCCCTACAATAGTTTGTTGTTTATTACACGTTTTGTATGAATCTAAGTAGCTTATAGAAAGAGCATAATTAACAATAAAGTTCCTAGTGTTACCAATGGTGACATTCACTGTCCCAGTGCCCCAATTATAGAATCCTTGTTCTTCTTTCCTGTTCCTATTGGCTTCTTCCATAGGGTTGCATTTCAGATTTGTTGAGTAGATCCATTTCCTTGCTTTTTTTTCTTAAAAGTTTTCTCTATAAACTAACAGTGACTCTGGTACTGCTATCTCTAATGTTTTAAAATTGGATCAGTTAAGAAAAGTGACTGGTTGATTTTTCTGATTCCTTTCGTCCTTATCTGCATCATCTATTGACTTTATAAAAATATAGAAACTGACAAGGAAATTTAAAGAGTATATGGAAATTGGAAGAATGGAATAAAATTGGACTGGTGGACTTATATGCAAGTACAAACAAGATATAAAAAAGATAATGAGGAATTTGGAATTTGGAATAGGCAATGAACTACAAAAACTAGATAAAATTTTGATTGGCCCAGATGAGAAATTATTATCAAAGATATATAAGCATTTATTAGAATTTGATAGAGCAGAAGAAATTGTGAAAGGAACAATGATTGCATGGGGTAGAAATTTTGGACATACTATTGATTTGGAAGAGTGGGAAAAGATTTGGAATATGAATTATAAAATAACAAAATCGGCTGCTTATAAGGAAAATCAACATAAAATGTTCTACAGTTGGTATATGACACCATCAAGATTGGCTACGATCTATCCAAATTTAAAACCAAATTGCTGAAAGTGTGGACAACAACAAGGTACCTTCTTCCATTCTTGGTGGTTATGCCCCAAAGCGAAAAAATATTGGAAAGTGATTCAAATGTGGTTAGAAGAGTTAATTGAAAACAAAATTGATTTTGTCCTGGAATTATTCCTCTTAGGAATAATAAAAAGAAGTTATAACAGAAAGATAAAACATCTTATATTACATGTATTAACAGCAGCAAGAATTTCCTATGCGCAGTACTGGAAGAAAAACTCCACACCATCTGAAGGTTTAATAATTGAAAAAATCTTCAAAATGGATAAATTAACTATGGAACTAAAAGGAAAAGCAGACATGGAATACAATGCAATATGGGAAACATGGTATATATGGATTGACAATAGACATAAGAATAGAAAATGAAAATTATGTATATAATAGATATGAGGGTATGGAAATAGTATGTATTGAAAGTTTGGATAGGACACATAAATGTATATATAATGTCACAGCACTGTTTAATAAGTAATGGTACTATGTATAAATGAAAAAACCCAATAAAGCATTGGGAATATATATATATTCTGAGGTTTTTGCGGGTATTTGTATGTGGATCTTTGGTTATTCGGGTTTTCTCCCGCGTAAAATTGGAAATATTTTGGCAATGTTTCGACAAAATCTCATTCATCATCTTCAGACTTGTGTCTTCGGCTTTGTGCTTCTTGGAGTAATGTGAGCTTGCAGCTGTTTTTTCTTTTAACTGCCAGTGGGAATGCGGCTTGACTGGGTGGGGGCTTGGCTGTATCAACTACTTCAAACTGATTCAATCCTCCAAACTGATTTCATCAAAGCCTCTGTTTACCTGCTCCCTCAGTTCTTTCCCATCTTCCCACTTTCTCTCTAACCTAGTAAAATAACCTTCTTAACTAACTCAGGGAATTATTCTGTTAAAATTCCTATTCTAAAAATCTTCCCAAAGACTGAAATATACAGTGCATGATAACTATCCATCTTATATTAGTTTATGTTGTGAGAAAGCAGACAATGTAAGAATGGGTTCACAGATTATACTCAGCCATAATGTGGTTTTGAGGAAGTATTTGTGCCCACCAGCTGCAACTTGTATTCCCTACTACTACAAAATAGTACTGAGAAAATCTAGTAGCAAAATAGCTCTACTTCAGTATCATTTTTTAATTTCCCTTTTCTTAAATAAATGTAAGAATGTCCAGTTAGAGTATCTGAAAAATCCATTGATATGTTTTCATTTTTTTCCTTTTGGCCCGTTTGTCTTCAGAGATGTCCCTATTCTATTATTATCCTTAAAATCACCACAACTGCTTCAAAACAGGTAAAAAAAAAGGTTCTGTCCCTTTTGGGACACCTCTACACTATTATTATTGAAAGACTCTTAAGGCCTTTTCAAGTTACCCTCTGTTGGCTTAGTGGAATATGGAAAGACACCAATAACAGGAAGGAAGGAAGGAAGGAAGGAAGGAAGGAAGGAAGGAAGGAAGGAAGGAAGGAAGGAAGGAAGGAACCTCCTGACAAATAATTCCTGTGATGACCTGTCATTATTGTTAAGATTTTTTTCTAACCACCAACTAGAAGTTGTCTTTCTATAATGTAGAGGATTAAAAAAAATGTTTGCCTTCACGATCACAAATAAAGTTGAAAAATTGGTGGTACCTTTTTAACATTGTAGTGTCAAGGAAACTAGAGGAAAGCATTTTTCAAAATGTCATTTGTATATCTGTGCTATTGTATGAAAAAATAAGTATGATTCAGATAAGATGCAATTGAAAACAGGCAGTCACATATATAAACTACAGAAAATCTGAAATGTAACCATTAATCCACTTCCTTGCAATCACATTTTTTGCAATAATAAGAGGTTTAACAATTCAGTACAGCTTTACTGGCTTGACATCTCAATATTACAAAGGATACTAGAAGTCTCTAGTGACACAAATGACATTAATAAGATACTGCCATTTTTACTTGGGTTTTTTCCCCTTTGATCATTAAATCCTACTGACATTTTGCTGCACTTTTAACCTGCTTGTTGATTCTCTTCCCCCACTTCCCCCACAAACACTTGTTTCTACATATTAGCAATTTATGTCTGTTTAGAGTTTAAATCTGAATAAGCAAATATTTTGTGTGCCTTTCATGAAAGACCCATTGGAGTGAGGCTAGTAAATATTTCTTAGGGAGACTCAAGTGTTAGGAGACATGTTAATTTACACAGACTGTGTGCTAAAAATACACTCAGAAAGATGTATCTGTGGCAGGTTGCCTACTTGGTTTCTATGCCAACCATCATTAGAGTTCATTAAAGTGCATCTGGTTTCCCCCAAAACCAGCTTTAAAGGGAATCAGTAAGATTGCCATTCAAGACTACAAGAGAAAGAAGTGTTGGCTTGATTCAATTGTTGCATGAATATGAACAGAGGTAGTTTACTAAGAAACAAAAACAAAGAAGTCTTACAATCAAGCCAAAGATCTAGAATTAAAACCCGCAGAATTATTATTATTGTTGTCATTATTGTTGTTTTCATCATTGTCATTAACATTACAAAACTAATGTTGTAAAGATTAAAACACTAAGGGAATATTTAGTCTATTCTAATAACAGAGAGCAGAGCCATTATGGTTAAGGTACCAGGCTGGAAACCAAGAGACTAGGAGTTTTAATCCTATCTTAGCCACTTGGGCCAATCCATCTCTCTCAGCCCTAGGATGGGGGGAATGGCAAATCCTTGTGAAACCTTGCCAAGAAAACTGGGGGATTTATTGAGGCAGTCACCAGGAGTCAATATTAACCCATAGATTCCCTCCTCAAAAAGCAGCAAGGAATTGGACAAACTAAAAGACAGGCCAAGTCTCTCTGCCCTGTACAGTCATCTGTCCATCCATAAGTTTAGTAAAAGAAAATAAATTAATATAAATAGACACAGCTGTACATACTTATATTTGAATAATTGATTCAGACTTTTGTCCTTTTGTTTCCTCTTTCTTAGGAAAGAGAATTCGAGCTGCAAGCATGCCTCTGGCAGGAGGTTAATATAAAAGTTCCAAGTCAAATAGATCACTATATCATAAACCACAGTTATACTCAGGTTAAATAATTATTGTAGTTTCATGTGAGAGTTAAAAACTCCTTTAAGAGCTCTGTCTAGACTATAATTTACAGAGCTCTTTAATTAATATTCAAATTTTACCTTATCATACAGTTTGCCAACTACAGAAAAACATAGCAAGGTTATACAAACGCCTCCTCTCTCAATATCCCTACCCATTTCTACCTAGAGAAGTTGGATCTACTCGTCTATAAAATGTCAGGTTCAGAAACAATCTTTTTAATAGAGGATTAGCTGAGAGGAAAAATATCCAACAACATATTTGTCTTCTGCCTGTAAGCTCCTTTCAGAAATTGGACACCTGGAATTCAGAGAAGCCTTTGGGCTGATCAGAGAACATGTAGTCATTGCCAAAGCAGAGGAAACAACTATCATTTCTAAATAACAAACATCTTAAATTGTAAAGATGTCATAGGCATGACATTCTGGGAAGATTTTTCTGAAAACAAAACAAAGGGCAAAATGGAGCCCCTTTTGTATTTGCCTGATCACTTGAAGGCTTGAAAGTAGGCAGAAATGGAGCTGCATAAAGTTCCCAATCTTTACATAATGAACTGGAATCCTGAATGGAAATATTATGCGCACTGGGTTTGTGTGGAAAGGAAATTTTCTGCCACAAAATAATGTTCAAAATTGCAGAAAAAGCTGAATTTATATTCAAACAAATGTAATATCAAGACCTCTTCAGACCATTTCATCAAATGTGAGGATGCCTGAAAAGAGTGTTGGATCTTAAGCTTGGACCATGTGAAGTAAAAAGAAATAGCATGTAATGATACCCTATCTCTCAACTCCAAACATGCAGAACTGTAGGAAAACGAAGAATTGGTACTATTGGACTCCTGCATTGTAACAGTACACAAGAATCCACTGTAGACAGTATGGTAGACACCATATTGCAAGCTTTTCAGTTACTACTATATGCTACCAATTGAAGAAAATATACTGTGTGTAATCAGGGTTGAACAGTAGAGTCCTTTATGCTCTCTGAGTGTGATTGTTTGCTTACAGTTATTTATTACCAGACAAGGTAACATAATTTCATTACTTACTCTAGTAATGAAATGTTTGCAAGCAAACAACCAAACTTAGAAAGGACCAAAGTCTCCAAGCTAATATCTGGCTCCACCAGACACCATCTGTGGTAAATACAAATAGTCTTAAACTGGAGTATAAAACAATATATAATACCTGATACTGAGAAGAGGCCTTGTTTTATGAACTTGTACATCACACATTGGGCAGTATTTGTTGGTTTCCAGGTAATGGACAATGCAGGTTTTACAAACTAAAAAAAGAAAAGAAAACATTGGTAGAAAAGGGGAGTCACAGAGGAAAATTAATCTGAATTTATGAAATGAAGAGATATCCAAACTTGGATTTACTATGAAGCAAAACAGTGGTTACTCAAGCTAGCTAGAAAACTGTCTGGAGTCAAAAATTATCCCAGGGCTGCAGATTTTGCTATATTAGTTGGAAATAAAAGGAATCCTTTGTCTGATTTTTTTAAATGCAGAGCAACAAAGACAAAAACTAGACATGCATTGTAAGATATGAATAAAAATTGTCTACTCAAATCTAGACAAATGGTTGATTCATAAACCATATGCAGGTCCCAAACCCAAATAAATAGGAGGGCTACGGAAAGCAATGGTGAACATCCTGTTAAAAAAACAACTCAACAGAACACTTTATTGCAATAACTTAACATGATTCAGGTATGGATACCCAACAGTGGAACCTCCAGGCTGGATAGTAGCCCGCAAGCTATTGGGAAAAAGGAAGGGCCAATTTTTAGTAGGTTTTCATGGCATTGTTGGATTGATGGAGGAAAGTCTTTGTGAAGTTTAAGAATTGAAGATGCCCATAACAAAAGAGGTTGCCTACACTGTATAAAGTTATATCAAAATGGAATATGGAATATTAAAAGCATATCCCTTGGAAAACTCAAAATTGTAAATAGAGAAATGATTAGAGTGGACATAGACATCCTTGGCATTACACTGGACAGGATTACACTGAATTACACTGGACAGGATTACACTGAATTACACTGGACAGGAAGTGATGAATTCAAATCAGTAGAGTTTATGTTTTATTTTTCTGAAAATGATATCATCAAATGGAAAAGCGTTGCATTCTGCATGAGCAGACGTGGCTAAATGTGTTAAGAATCACAGAGCATACAGTGATCGCATGATAGCTATTCATATTTGAGGCATCACTATACTACATATCTACGCTCCAACTGTAGACTCAGATGATGATGGAAGTGGACTTTTACAGTGAACTTCAATGTGCTCTGAAGCAAATATCAAAAAAAGATATTTTTTATATTATGGGTTGAGCAAGAGTTGACTAGAAAACCTCCAAGGACCATTCCAACTCTGTTATTCTGAGGACCATCTATAATTGCAAGTTTTTCACTTTTGAAACAATGATTTTACTAGCTTTCCTAAAATCATACAATCCCTTTTGCTAAAAATGTAAGCATATTTGCTATGAATCTGAATGAGAAATTGTACTCCAGAGGATGAGTATGTAATAACTTCATGTCTCAAGAGTTTTTGAAGGCATCGTTAGACTACTTGCTCTTCATAAAATAGAGCCTTAATTATATCAATAACTGACATTTAACTGTATTCAGACATGCATCATATACTGTATATAGTCAAATATATAAAGCATTAAATAATAAGAATATTATTGTGCTAATGATATTGGGCTAAGTGATAACTTTCCCACCTCTTTTCTCATTCATTGATGACTAACTGGCAAATAGCATTGAATGGTTAAGATGAGAGCTCAGACTTAATTAAATCTTGCCTCATAATTTTAACTATAAGTATCTTGCCAATAGGAATCTTCAGTCTATTAGCCTTTAGCCTAACTCATCTTTCATTGCATTAAAATAATATCTTACTGTTTTAACTGTCACACATGTCCAGTCTTGCTTACACAATTATCTTTATTGGACAGTAGAGATGGAGAATATTTTGAAAATCAGGGAAATCAAGGTGACCAGGACAGTCGGAAGAATGGGAGATTAGCTACCCTGCAGTGAAAGGAATTTGTGTTCTGAATGGATAACACGATTATCCTGCACATTTGAATTGGACCTTTGTCAATGAGAAAGTCCAGAGATTCTGTTAAATTCAAATAGGGAGCTTCCTTATTTGGCACTTACATGAATGTAAGCATTCCACAATAGTTGTGGCATCTATAAAATAGCCTCCACATAAGGCACACATTAAGTGAGGGTTCAGCTCTGTGATTTTTATCCTGGTGGTTCTGTGCATCCTGATGAATTCAGGCAACTGTCTCTGGAAAAGAAAAGAAATAATAACACAAGAGTAAATCAAACAGCCTCACGCATTGTGAGAAGATAATGGTTTGGCAGAAATCTCACTTTACAAACTGATGAACAATAGCAGGCTGCAGTATTGAAGATAATAACTGTTATCCCATAGTGATTATCTACTATGACAAGGTTTTCTCATAGGCAAGGATTATCTGATGTTGGACTAAGAAAAAGCTTTCATCTTTTCCACATAATCTTTGGTGCTATCAGATAAAACATGGAAAGGACAATGTCATTCCCAGCATCCATAGGGCCTTAGATGTCACACTTCTGTCACACTATTCATATAAGATAAGTACAGAAATTCTATCAGCTATTCTCAAGACCAAATTCTTTTTTCAGTTAATAAAATCCCATTTCTCTTCACAAAAAGGAAATCCATTTATAAAATATATATAAAATTTGGTAATTATTTTGAAACTGTAACATAGACAATTTATTTACTTATTTTATTAGGCGCTTGTATCTGCTGTTTATTACTTATTTCTTTTAGCTATGTGTACCTTGTTATTTCACCAAGTAGACTCAGGCTATCTACCATAAACTTTTCAACAGAATGTTTAAATACAGCAACATTAAAAAAAAACCAGATACCACACAAAATGCATAAAAATAGTTGCCATTTATTTATCTGTAATAATCTTTATATTGTTTCAATAGCTACTTTAAGCACTCACATAGAAATGCAGGATATAAACTAAATAAAATTTAACATAATTATATAAACTGTTTGAAAATAACTAATTAAAATATCAATAAAGGTGAAAAGACCATACCACAAGAAGATATATCAGTTCCAAGTCATAAATCCTTTGACCATAGAAGTGCAATGCCACCCTTGTTCAGTGATGACAATCTGGTCATCAAATTAAAGGACACGAATAGAGACTCTGTTTTCCTAAAAGGAGCTGTTCTTTTGATGGAGATGCGGGGGGGCCCTCCTGGCCTCCAAGGTGTGCCACTTCTTTTCCAGGGCATGGGTCGGGCCTGAACAGAAGTCTGGCAAAATGATTTCCTGTGCCCGGTGGAACAAGGAATTAACCTTGGGGAGAAAGGAGGGATTCAGTTGCAGAACCACTCTGTTTGAATGGAATACGCACAAGTCCTCCCTTATGGAGAGGGCTGCCAGCTCCAAAATCTGTCTGGCCGAGGTGATAGCCACAAGGAAGGCTACCTTGCAGGTGAGGAAGTGCAGGTTGGCTGCCTGTAACAGCTCGAAGAGTGCTAAGGAGAATGCCTGCAAGACCTTGGGTAAGTCCCAGGTGGGATATCTGTGTACCACCAGAGGCTTTAAGCTGGTTACTCCTTTAAGGAAGCTGCACACAATAGGGTATTGTGCCAGTGATTCCAGATCCCCGCATGACAACACCGACAGCAGAGCTGCCACCTGCTTGCATAAGGTCTTAAGGGATAGGCCCTTGTCCAGCCCCTCCTGAAGGAATTCCAGGATCTGGGCTACAGATACCAAAAAGGGTTCAAAGTTGCCCTTGGAGCAACAGATAAAGAAGGCCTTCCAAGTCAAGTCATGGATTCTGTTAGTTGATGGACTTCTGGAGGCCTGGATTGTCCGGATCACCTTTGCAGTCATTTTGCCCTGTCTCAGAACTCTCCACTCAAATGCCATATGGTCAGTTGAAACCATTGTGGTTCTGGGTGGACTAGAGTCCCCTGGCTGAGGGATATCTTGCCCCATAAAATCCTCCAGGGCCTGGATATGGATAGCCTGACTAGATCTGCAAACCACGGCAGTCTGGGTCAGGGGGAGAGCCAGGAGTAATACCTCTGCCTTCTCCACCAAAACCCTCCTGATTATCCCTGGGATCAAGGGAACGGGGGGAAGGCATATAAGAGGTTATGGAGTGCAGAGTGCATTGATCACCTCCACCTCCGGTGTTGCAAATCTGGAGTAAAACCTTGGCAACTGGCTGTTTAACAGGGTAGCGAATGAGTCCAGGACCGGGGTCCCAAACCATTCTGACAGTTCCCTGAACAGTTCTGGATATAGGCACCACTCTGAGTGGTTGACTGTAGTCCTGCTTAGCCAATCCACCTGTACATTAGTTGTCCCCGATATGTGTTCCAGCCTTAAGAAGAAAAAATGCTTCTCTGCCCAGAGACCCAGTTGCTCTGCCTTTCACATGAGAGACCTGGAGTGGGTGCCCCTTTGATGATTGATGTAGGCATTGGTGGCTACATTGTCCATCAGAATGAGAATGTGATGGCCAGAGATCTTGCCCTGGTACCATCTGAGGGCCAGATGGACTGCCCTGAGTTCCAGCCAGTTGATGTTGTTTGTCAGGCTGTCCTGTGAGCACTGCCCCTGTGCCATCTGTAATTCAAACTGGGCATCCAAAGATGCTCGCATCTATGGCTGGACTCTTTGAAGGCACATCCCTTTGTCATGGCCCAGGACATTAACCACTAGAAAGACTGGAGTACCCTGTGTGGAACCTGAACCTTGGTAGATGAGTTGCTCTTGTCGGACCTTTGGTGGGGTAGGAGAAACCACTGTAAGGTTCTGGCATGTATGCATGCCCAGGGGACGATTGTGATGCAAGATACCATCTTGCTCAGGAGCTGTGAGAGGAGACTGACTGGATCATTCGGACCCAATTCACCAATGCTTTTATGGTGTCCTGATGCTCCTGTGATAGGTAAACCTTGCATAATGAGGTAGCTATGATTGCCCCCGGGTGTGATAAATGGGTGGTGGGAGCCAGCTGGCTCTTCTCATAATTAATGGAGAATCTGTGGTCCTGAAGGACCCAGATTGTGACTTTTAAATTCTCTGCCATCTGAAAGTGAAAGTGATCAAGATGTCATCCAGGTAACACTGGATGTGGATTGGGATCGCCCTGAGGTGGGCCGCCAGTTCCACCATTAGTTTAGTGAAACCCCTGGGCACTGAATAGAGGCCGAATGGTAGGGCCCTGTACTGATAATGACATCCCATGTAGTAGAACCTGAGGAACTGGTGGTGGGACAGTAGGATGGGTACATGGAGGTATGCCCTTGTCAAGTCTATGGATGTTAAGAAATCGTCCTCTCAGATGCTCTCCAGGATGGATTGGAGGGACTGCATCTTGAGCCTCCTGTAAACCAGATGTCATTTAATCTTTTCAGGTCCAGAATTGCTCTCCACCTTTGGGACTATAAGGGCCTTTCGGACTATAAATAGGATAGAGAAGAATCCCTGCCCCTGTTGTTCCACTGGAAGCGATTGAATAGCTAGAATGTCCAACACATGTTGGATAAACGGCCTCCTCTTTTTGTGTTGTCTTTTGATATGGGACAACGTATGAAGAATCTCAGGTGTATGGAAAGAAATTTGAGTGTGATACCAGTCTCACCGTGTTTAGAACTCAGGTGTCTGAAGTAGTAGCCTCCCACTGATTTGCAAATAGCCTAGGCGGCCACCAATGGGAGGATTGGGATCACTTGTAACAACAGAAGGGGCAACCTCTTGGCCTGGAATTGTTGTCTGCTCCTATCCCAAGATCCGGTTCTATCTGGTTGGCGGTCAGCTCTATGAGAGTACGTCCTCTGGGAGTAGCCCAACCCGGTATCTGTTGGCCGAAAGGAAGGCCTGCAAAAGTAAGGCGAGGAGCGACGGCTCATCTGTATAGACAAGGTAGGATCTTTCTCCTGTCCTTGGTTTCCACCAATATGGGCTCCATGGCCTTTTTGGCTCTGAGGAACTCTTGTTAAATTTATCTCTTTTTGGCCAAGACTGAGTCAAAACTGGGACACAGACAAGAAAGGTGTGGCTACAAAGTTTAAAAGGACTCTGGGCAGAAAGGTGGAGTTCTCATCCTTTGTATTCTCTGCTCAGCACACTGGAGAATTCTGAGAGCTCTACTGTATCTTCAGTGTATCTGAACAGTATCACATTTGGGAGGGTTTCAGTACAAGGATAGGGTTTGGCTTATGACAGAAAGGAAATCTCTAATGCATGTTTAGCCTGAGAACGAAATGTTGCCATTAATTTTTTGTGGCCCTAATAACTCTAGCCACCTTTAATGAAAATTAGGTCATGGATTGCCTCCACAACACAGGGAACCTTGCAACTAGGTACTACTTCTGCACAAACACATAGAACAAGAGTACCGATTCCCTGAATCGCTAGATCATTGTTTTACAAAATCCCAGAAAAAGTACAAATGATGTAAAAAAAAACACAAAAAGTTTTTCTTCCCATAATACATAAAAAAAGGGAAAGCAAGTTATTTGCCTTTCAGAGTTGATAAAAAATATAGTTATATATTGGATGTTTTCAAAAGGGTGTGGCAGGAGAATATGGTATGTTTTTCTTTCCCCTCCTTCCTTTCTTTGTTGTAAGAAATTCATTCTTCATTTGGTACCATTAAATGCAGGGCGGTGTAAATTCTATAACCATTTCTGTCTGTCTGTCTGTCTGTCTGTCTGTCTGTCTGTCTGTCTGTCTGTCTCTCGCTTTCTCCCTCCCTCCCTCTCTCTGGCACACTTGAACATAAGAGAAGATACGAGAAGCCACAACCCTTTCTGGCTTGCTCAGGCAGCTTTACTGTTTCCATAGTAACCTTTATACTTGGCAAGGAGCCAGAATATTATTACAACTTGCCAAAGTAGAAAAAAAGGAAAGTAGGGTGGATAAAGAGGGGACAATGAGGGGAAACAGCCAAACATGTACAGTGTCTTTGATTTAGCAAATTGATTTGAGATCTACACATTTTCTGAGACTGGATGATTCAATCTTAATAGTGTCAAATGAAAACAAAGAAAGGCCCCTATTTAAGAACAATGTGTGGATTTCCAGTCAGTATCTTCCAAGAAACAACCAAGGAGGCTGATTTATTATTTTTGTGGATGCAAAAAAGGCTCTTGGAAATGAGTAACAATGGAGAGTACCCATAGGGAGGAAGCAAATCTCAAAGGCAGGATTATTAGAAAAGAAAGCAAATACAGACACATGTAACCTTGTTA